TCGGAATATAGAGGGACGAGGAGTACGGGTAGTGTAAGTGTGTGCGTGCAGGAACGCGCGCGCGCCCCAACAATTACCACTATACCGCTCGCTCGAACTGGTCATCGATATGGTGTGGAGAAGGAGGAGAAGGAGGGGTGGGGGATGGGGGGTAGCTTTTACGCGGGACACAGATGTGTTTGAAACATCGTACCTTTACCTACCCCTCTGCGATAGCCTAAATTTAAATCCTCGCTTCGCTTCGCTTCGATTCCTGCCGACTATCCCCTAGAGAGGGGAAAAGGGTTATATCTATCGCATATATCGACGCGTATTTTGTAATCCGCGCTAATTTAATTGCTCGTCGTCATCGATGGTCATTAAATCGAATCGTAACGATTCAAATGTATAGGTAGCTCTTTTTTTCTGTTGTCGTAAATGTTAGAGACACATCCTGGAATGGTTACTTTTCGTTTGGTAAATTCAAAAATGTCGATACACAAGTAACCGGTCAATCTATGGAATATTATTTTGTTTGCACAATTGTCACAGAAAGAGAGAGGTGTGGTGGCGGGGGGTTGGTAGGGGGAAGAGAGAAAGAAAGAAAGAAGTTTGATAAGTTGATAGCAAATGATATTTAAGCTATGTCATTTTAATGACATTTTAATTTGGAGGCAGGAGAGAAAGTAATTATTTAAACGGCAGGAGTAACAGTTCTGTTAATTGACTATTACTCGTAATTCCGTCATCGTGTGGCAAATTTATGTGGCAATTGACGGGCCGCTTGTTTGCGCTCGAAGAGGCTTCGTGTGAAATCCGACTGGTCATCGAGTTGTATAATAGTACGACTAGCTCGTTAGTCTAAACAGAGCTCAGTGCGAACCACGAAACGGCCGGTGAGTTGCACCGTGAACCGATGGATGGAACATCGTCGACCGACCGACCGACCGACCGACCGAACGAGCAATCCTGTTGCTGATTTATAACTTTTAACGCGAAATGTTTATATTTATTTTCATGTGGACGACGTATTATTGATGTTCTACGACACTGTGTACATTTCCGTAACGTATTTCGCGTTTTATCAATTAAAAAATGCACCGATCGTTTCAGATATTAGAAAGAAAAAAGAATGCTGAGTTAATGATCGTATCGAATATTTTTCGTATATAAACAGAAGGTGTGTCGTAATATCGAAGGGATAGCGCATTATAATCTTTAATTGGTACGTTCATGGATATCAGACTAATTGTTCTTCATTAATTGGAGGCAACATTCGACTAGCACAATATTTAATGAAAAGAGCGTAATCTCGATAGAAGATCGAGAGAAAATGAACATAAAAAAAGAAAATAAGGGGAATGAGTGAGTTGAGAGAGAGAGAGAGAGTGAGAGAGAGAGAGAGTGGGAGGGAAGAGGGAGAGAAAATATCAGAGGCTCCATTCTTGCGAGTAATTCGCAATCCAAGCTGAAGATGGACGTTTCGTAATTATTCAAAGCAGAGCTCTCTGAAGGACCCAATTAGCGTCGGGCGCTTTTCGAAGCTTCCGTCGAGAGTTTGGGATTGGTTTTACAATCTGCTTGCATTAAAAAAGTATAGGAAACATGGCGTAAGCGCAAAAGTGATTCATAACGTCGGATAGTTCTTATATTTTTTTTTTGCGCGATTATAATCTCCAGCTTTATAACGTTAATGATTCTAAATACATCGTATCTCGTCCGTAGCATCCTTTGATTTATAAAGTTAATGGTGGTAGTAAAAGTAACAGTAGTAACAGTGTTAGTAGAAATTTCCAACAAAATAACATCGTCGAATGGAAATGACTAGATGCGCTACGAGATACTGGGGAATGTTTTTTATTTTTCACGATGTATAGTTGTAAAATAAAAACGTAATATATTCATAGGATATACGAAGGAGAAATAATCGAAAAAATGTATTGTGATATCATTCAGCGTATCGCGATTGCGATTAATGTTATGATGAAGACGATGCAGTCATTTACAACAGCTGTGGTACGTGTAATTACCAAGCCATTACTTAAAGTATTACGAGTTATAACTTGAAGGTTTTGGTTAAGCGTTAATTCTCGCTATACTTCAGCCGTTTAAAAATAAGTTTTTATTCATGAATAATAAGAAAGTTAAATGAGTTTGCTTGTACATTATGTCGAGATTATATAAGCAGTGTTTTACGATGGTGAAAATATTTTTTCACGCTCTATCGATGAAGCTATATGTGCAATACAAGTGAACATGTATGTGAATATAATATATATGTATGAATATGCAATGTAGACATTTGCGTAAACGTATTTCGTTATAGATCGTTGTTGCAATGACCTCATCTCGATGAAGTTAATGGAAAAAATAACTATTTCAAGACCAATAACTTTTTATAAACGAGAAAAGAAGACGCAAAATGTCACGATTGTTAATTCGCAACGTGCTCGGTTCCGAATGTAGCTTTGAGTGTTTATAACGTTTCTGATATGATTGATGAAACAAAGCGTGAGCACGTAGAGAGGCATATTTCGATAAAAAAAAAAGGAGCAACGCGATCGTTACGATCGGCATTACTCGCAGATAAATGAACGAAGCACTATCACGCTGCATGGCACAATCCGACATTGATTTGTAAATCAATTCCCTCCTCCGATCTCTTCGAAATCCACCGTTGAACTGAGTCATTGTCCTCTATGAAATTTCTTTTATTAAATTTTATTTATATGACTGTTTATATGTATGACTATTTATATGACACTTATATGAAATTCAATAAATTAAAAGTTAATTTCAATAATTCATATTTTCCATTAGTATATTATTTATACATTGTCTTAATATATTGTTTGTATAATTGCTTAGAGAAATGTACTTTCTTTTTTCATTTATATATACGTGTACATTACGTATATATTAACAATTATTTTAATGCACTAATGCATCTTTCTTATGTTATAGATAAATTTTACCCTGGAAGTCATCACTGCGCAGGAGCATTAAAATAATTACATAAAAATTAAAAGAATACCAAAAGGAGACCGTTATAATCTTAAATTTTATTGATTAGGTGGATTATTGATTTTATACACATGCGCAACGTTAGGAAAGTCATATAAACAACTTTCAATAAAAGTATTTTCATAGTAGAGAAAGTGCCAGTCTCAAGGTGCATTTCGAGGAAGACGGATCACAGAACATATACTTCCAGCTTTTTAACAACAATATACATTTTTATTGATTATTTAACTATTATTTTAATTCTGTAATACACTCTTTTTATATTTCAGTGTGTTTTAACATACATGTACTGATTTGAATATTACAGTCTTTTTTACGTACTTCTAATATTAAATAATTTTGATTTGATATTCTTTTCGATGTAATTTTACCCCTCCACAGTCACCACTATGCAGGAACTTTACAAAAAATGTACATTAGTTTAAACTATTACATAAAAATGTAAACATGGTAAAATAAGAGTGTTGGAATCTTAAATTTTATCAATTAGATGAATTATTCCCTTTACACACATGCGCAACGTTCAAAAATTCATATAAACAACATTGAATAAAAGTAATTTGATAGAGGACAACGTCTCATTTCAACGGTGAATTTCGAAGGGGACGGTACATACATCATATATTCCTAGCTTTTAAACAACAATAGATATTTCTATCGATTAATTAACAATTATTTTAATATACTAATGCACACTTTTTATATTTCAGATTGTTTAAACATATGTATACTTGAATAAACATTACATACTTATTACCATACTTTGAATATAAAATAATTTTAATGTGATATTTTTCTGGATAAAAATTTTATTACCCTAAGTCATCAAACTGTACAGGGACGTTAAAACAAATGTATATTACTTTAAACAATTACATAAAAATTGAAAGAATGTTTAAATCAGAACGTTGCGATGTGATAAAGTTTTTAGTTTATATTGTCTCTATTTTACTCGTTATTTTTTAAATATTAACAAGGAACGTATACACCTAATAAAAAAATAAATTGGATAGTAATAATTATTAATTGAATATATATATATATAATAATAATAATTATAAATTAAATAATTATATATATAAATAATAAATAAATAATAAAATAATTATATATATAAATAATAAATAAATTATGTGTGTTTTTCTATGCGGTGTGATAAGGTTTATAGTGCATATTGTCTCTATTCTTTTCGTTATTTTTTAAATATTAACAAGAAACGTGTACATCTAATTGAAAAATAGAATAAATTTTTAATTTATTTAATAAATAAATTATCATATCAAGCTTGACTAGCGTAGTCATGAAGAAAGCCGAGTTACGTACATGTGACGGGCCAAGCTTGTGTGCGTGAAATACATTTCTAAATGATTATTGAGAATTTCTAATTGGTCACTTCACGTGACCAATAATAAATATCAGCTACTCAATCGGAAGAATTTTCAATCAAAAGAAATATCAGCCAATCAGGGCTCTTTGCTGGTATTCCTTCTTTCTTTTCGCGGCGGCGGTGCTGGAGATCGCACGAAAGTTTGTTCTTCCTGTTAAATTCAACTAAGTAAAAGATATTTTCTAACGTACAGCCTTCTATTATATATCAAACGATAGCTACAAGTAAGATTTTCATACGTGAGTGTTTTCAAAACGAAATATTTAAAAGTTCGAAAGATATCTGTAAGAATATAATCATCGGCATATGTCAGTTTCGCGCCAAATCTAACCAATGTTACTTAATCATATTATTTTCTAATTTCGAGCCTTTTTTCACGATATCTATACTTATTACCATCTCTAATGATGCTATAATTAATTATTTTTCATAATTATGTCTTCAAAAATCGTATTTCATATTAAATTCAATTTTTATAACCTATAAACACATACAGGCATATATACATAAGTATAGGTAGCTCGTACATATACACTCATATATTGGATTTTCTTTATATTGTACTAATGTAATTTTATTTTTTATTTCTCTTAGATTTTTAAGCATTGAAGAGTCTAGAACGAATACATATACTCAGAAAAAACAATTGTGTTTACTCTTTTTTATCTGCATATTCATCGAGGTAAGCGTTATTCTTTTTTTAACCTATATAGAAATGTATAGAAAGAATGAGAACGAGAGTGAGTGAGAGAGAGAGAGAGAGAGAATAAAAAAACAAAACATTCAACCTACAGGCAATTATGAATTGGTGTGTATATTTCCAGGAATTTCTCGAGGTGAAGAAAGACAACCGAAACAAAACGTAAATAGCCGAACGTTGGGCTAAGGATAAGCAGTGACGTATCTCATTCCCCTTCCGTCCTCCAACGAGTTAAGATCTAACGCGAACGTATATTAAACTATTGATTATTTTTATTTCTAACCTCATCATTATTGAATTAATCGTTTAAAATGTTTATTATAGGATTGGATAGTATAACAATTGATACACTTGTTAGGTTATTCTTTATTGAGTTTACTACTACAGTTGTCTTCTTTAGACAACTTTAAAGATTTGTATTAACAATTTGTATTAACATTACATCCTTTGTATGTAATTTCATACAAGTAGGGAGATTAAAGCAATTAATATTGCTTGAATTTATATTGATTCTTTATGATAGAATATTTTTTAAAGTGTGTGAAATGCCTTCAGGAATGATTAACAGGGAATATTGT